GCATTCCTAGACCCTTTTGTAGGTGTCTAGAGAGCTTTTGACGGCTGCCATTGCGTGCCCGGACCCCCCCCCGCGCCCTCACCGCCCCCACCACCCACACCGCTTCCAGCATTCCTAGACCCTTTTCTAGGTGTTTAGAGAGTGTTTGAACGCTGCCAATACGCGCAGCGGGGTCGGCGGCACTGGCGGCAGCCCCTAAATAAACCTAAATCTCCAAACAAAGCTTCCCGTCTTGCCTCCTCAGTGTGCTGCGCCTCGAGCTGCGCCAATGCTCCTGCACACTCTGCCTGGGTACTTCTGACGGTGACTCAGCAACGTTGGCTTCGGGGTTCTATTCAAGGAGAATAGCCCCCTGGCAGTCTTGGGCATTCTGGCTGGCAAGTGGCTGAAACATGAAGCCGACTTCTTCCAAGCCCGACATACTCACAGCCATTACAGGAGGGGCAAAAGGCCAAAAACCTAACATTGGCCACCCCACCGGCCCCCAAATGAAGAGAGGCAAGGGGAGACAAACGTCGGTGTTGGCCACCCCGCCGGTCGCACGTGAAGGCGACCATTTGGTTTGCTGCTTGTTCTCCAGCTTTCCTTTCTGTCAAAGCCTTGAGTGTCGTTCGAGCGGTATGTCTTGAACAAGCGCTCTCATTTCTCAGATGTTGTAGTCGTGTTCGGTTGGTCTGCTCCACTTGCTCAAACTCTGCTCTTTCTCGACTCTGCATTTCGAGCGGGAATTCTCAAATTGGTTAGTCCCCTTCGACTGGTCTGCTCCTTTGTTCCTCGGTGTCACCCTCTCCTCATTGTCAAAATCTCCAGTCTGATTCGATCGGTTGCTCCTCTTTCTCCCAATCTGCAGTCTTTATTGAGCTGTTTGCTCACATTCTTCAAATCTTCTAGCCCCGATCAACCGTATTGATCCTCTTTTTCGACTTTCCGCTTTTTCAGAAGGGTCGCTGGTCCTGTTCGAGCGTCTTGTTCCTCTTGTTCAATGCTGCTGTCTCGTTCGAGCAATTCGCTCCTTCTTGACCAATGTTCTAAAACCTTGAGCCTGGGTTTGCTCCTATTTCTCAAATTGTAATCCCTTGCGGAGCGGTTGTGCCCCTGGGTCTAATCCCGGTCGACTGATTTGCCCCTCGTGCTCAAAGTATTCTTTTTTGTTATCATCTCTCTAGTTTCCTGCGACAGGCTTGCACTTGCGTCGCAAACTGTCGAATCCTGTGTCGATTGGCCTGCTCCTCTTTCTCGCATACTTCCTCACTTTGTCAAATTCTCTTAGAGTTTCTAGTCTCTCCTGGTATTTTCGAAACTGTCTAGCCCTTTTCACCTGACTTACTCCTCCTTCTCAGCTTCTTTTCTCTGCCGAACTCTCTGGTGAATCGCTAGTGGCTTTCCAGCAGTTTGCTCCTTTTGCCAACATTTCTAGTCCGGCCAGCTGCTTGCTCATCCTCACATGCTTCTCACTGTCACACCCTACAGCTTGGTTCGAAGGTTGTTGTTTTTGCCGTGTTGTTTCCGGTGTTTCGCTCCTGCTTCTGGGGTTTTCCAATCTCTTTCGAGCGGTTTGCCGGTGATCCTCAAATTTATTGTTGTTCCGCCGGTGTGCCTGTCTTTCTCAAATCTGCTCTGTGCTAGATTCTCTGATGCAGTTCAATTGGTTTGCTCCTTTTCCTCACTTCTGTCTGTTCCTTTTCGAGTGGTTTGCTTCTGTCGTTCTGCTCGTCTCAAACCTCTGAGTTTGCGCCTGTCTCTTCAGTATTCTGGTCCCTTTCGGCTGGTTTGCTCCTGTTTGTCAAACTCTCCTCTGTGTCAAACTCTCCAGTCTCTCTAAAACAGCTTGCTCCGGCTTCTCAAGTTATCTACTCGTTCGATGAGTTTGCTCCTCTTTCTGAATTTTCTTCTTTTGTAAACTATCTAGTGTTCTTTGGAGGGATTTGCCCCCGGTGCTCAAATTTCTCCAGTCCGGTTTCGACCTGTTGGCGGGTTTGCTCCCCTTTCTCAAACTCCCTGTTCCCGAACCCTTTCGATTGATTCGCCCATGCATCTCAACGGATGACGCTCTAGGCTCTAGTTTCTTTCGAGCGGTCTGCTGCTGTTTCTCACCTTGCCTCTAGCCGTTCGAACGGCTTGCTCGTGTTTCTCGAGGTCTCCTCCTTATCAAACTCCTTAGTTCTGTTTGAGTGCTTCGCTCCAGCTTCTATTTCTTGTACTCCCTTTTTGACTGGTTTGCTCCTGTTTCTCCGTTGTTCCTCTCGTTCGAGCACTTTGTTCCTGCTTGTCAAGTCTTTCAGTCCGTGTCGGCTGCATTGCTCACACATTTCTTAAGCTCTTGAATTCCTTTCAAGCGTTTGGCTCCTCTTCCTTAGATGCTTGAGTCCCTTTCCAGCTGTGGGGTTCCTTTTCCTAGACTTTTCTAGTCCGCTTCGACTGGATCATCCCTCTTTCTCAAACTCCCCACTTTGTCAGAGTCGCTGGTCTCTTTCAACCAGGTGGTTCATGTATCTCACAGGTTCTATTCCTTCTCAACGGTTTGTAACTTTTGTCAAAGAGTCCGATTTGTCAAACGCTTCTGTCTCTCTCGAGCCATGTACTCGTGTGCTCCTTTGTTCTCAAACTGGCTACTCCCTTTCGACTAGAAATGTCAGACTCTGAATGCCTGATCCTGTTCGGCCGGTGTTGTCCCTGCTTTCTTCTCGCATCCTTTTCGTGCCCCCTTCTCAATCAGCGTTTTGTCAAACTCTCTAGTCTGGTTCGAGATTCTCTAGTCGCAGTGGCAACGGTGTTCACAGTCCCATCGGTAGCACTAGCAACAGTACCAGTAAGGGTCCGGTGGTGGTCCGGCATTACAAGAACTAGAACTAGCGCTTGCACCACAAATAATACTAGAAGCGGCAGTCTCCTTCCGTTGCAGTAACAGCTTTAGTTTCGTTGTGGTCATGGCCGCTGTCGTAGTCGTCGTAGCAGTCGCAGCCGCAGTCACCGTCGCAGGTGGCAGTGGCAGTGGCAGTGGCAGGAGCGGCAGCAGCAGTAGCAGCAGCAGTAGCAATAGTGCCATCAGCAGAAACAGTAGGTTGTTGTAGATGTATGATTATGTAGATGTGTATGCAGCTGCAAGTGTACTTGTAGTTGTATAAATAGTTACGTGTTGAACGTTTGATGTGCAGGGAATCTCCAGTCTTTGACAGATCTGGGATATCACAAAAGCTCGCGACACTTGCGGTCTATTCGTTGAGTTTGGCATGTCTGAACTGTCGAATGTACCAGAGGCTGAAAGGTTTTCATTAGAAACGAAATGACAAAGAAAGACGTGAATTACAAGAGTGCCTCAAATCACATCTACCTCAGGCGCCTCGTCATCCTCCAATTCTGCGAGCTTGGGCAAGCCTCCAGAAACTGGAGTTCAAACTGCCAAAAACGTCGGACATCCTCAGCTTCCTCAACCCAAGGGGACCTTCTGCTAGCTCCTCCTTGCAAGCCGCCATCTCCTCCTTCAGCCGCACGAGGTCCTCGCTGCACGCCTCGGAGTTCACACCATTCAACTCAAGAACAAAACCACGGGGACGGGCCTGAAGCTGGCTCCGAAGAACCTCCGACTCCATAAACCGTGCAATGACCGGCGCTGCTTCTTCTCGCAGCTGTCTCACTGCAACCTCCAGGGAGCAGAGCTAAGGCCATGACGAGGGTAAACGGCAACCAAGGCACCTCTACCTCAGCGCTTCGCTGCACGGCCTCACTGGGCACACATGCGCGCTGTCAGCACGAGAGAATCGAAGCTTCTGCCCCAGGCTTCCCCGCCACGTCCCGATCCCGCTCGGCACGGCGGACTCTGCGGAGGAGGAGGGTGTGCTTCTCCTGCTCTTGCTGGGCTTTTTGTTTACTCTGTCTCTCTCGCAGCTGGGCTTTCTCTCCCGGCCTCCAAGCTGTCAGCCTTCTCCTGGAGAGTAATTGCAAGATATTGCGAAGAATTCTGGGCACAGGAGGCAAATTCAAGTGTAAGATTTCCATACTGCGTAGGCATAAACTGCAGGAATGCGAATCCTGCAGCTCTGCCAAGAGCAGCTCACTGTCACGGAGCTCTTCCTCGGGCTCAGTCAGGAAAGCATCAGAAAGTGCATTCAGCCCAGTAGACTGGAGCTGCGACTTGCAAAAACCATGACAAGCAAGATGTTGCAAACAACAGCTTTGCCCACACTCACGTTAAGGTGTTCTCCTGCAGCGCTTCCACCACTTGACGAACCTAGGCACCACATGGCGCCAACGAAGCCGCTACTTCTGGCCAGCAGAAAGCGAATGCCAAGAGTCACGCATGGCTGAACACTTCAGCCTTTGCATCCTCGGACCATTCACCTGCCGAAGACTGTCATCTCCTGCCCCGAATCCACTTGGACATACGCTCGTGCATGCTGCATCCCCGGCCCAGAAACCGTAAACTCCGACGACAATTACTTTCAGTGGCAGTAGTAGTAGCAGCAGCAGCAGCAGGAGTAGTAGTAGTAGTAGTAGTAGTAGTGTAGTAGGGTGTCCCCCCCGGTGCGA